AAGGAAGAAGGGGGGGGGGATCGTGAACGAACGAAACTTAGCGAAGTCGCTCTACTCGCTGCGTTGTATCAAGACAGAGAATGACAATCATAAACAAGCGAAACGGAAGACGGGAGGGACAAAGTTAAATGACTTGAGGAACAAACAGCACGCAATACACCACCAACAACCAGGGTCTTGAATCAGGACTGCGCTGGTGCGCCTTGGCCTTGAGCGGGGGGATATCCAAAGTAGCCCTGCCAACCCAAGCGCAAGCCACACGGTGAGCAGATGCTGACATGAAAGGCATGTGCAGGGAACAAACAAGGGCAAAGCAAGCACTGGCGCACGCTCTTTCAGACAAATGAGTGCATGCATTGTCGTACCTGTGCATTGTACCACTCCTTGTATTGCAGATCTGGTTGATGAAACACAAAGCAACCATCAGAAGCAATCAGCAGCGAAAAAAAAACGATTAGCAGGAGCAGGAGCAGGAACAACAACAAACAACAAACAACAAACAACAAACAAACAACAACAGCAACAACAGCAACAACAAACAAACAACAACAACAACAACGTTAGGTGCGTTGGTGACATTGACACCAACCGACAGCACTAACCCCCCCCCCCCCCCCCAGGTGCCGCTCATACCAAGCAAGCACTTACATTGCTCGTGAGTAGGATAGCCGGGAGGGACAGCCTGCTGCTGTTGCTGCTGCTGCGGCTCCGAGGTCGCGGGAGGCTTCGACGTCGGCGGTGGCGGTTGCTGATGGTGGGTTGCACCAGCAGTCGAGGCTGGCGGTGGTGGCTGCTGCCCTGGCGGTGGTGGCGGTTGTGTTGGAGGTGGAGGCTGGTTCTGATAACCGTACGGGTACGAGTAGAAGTTGTTGGGCGGCTGCTGACCATAATAGCCACCATACTGCCCGGGCTGCTGCTGCTGCTGCTGCTGTTGCCCAGGGGGCGGTGGTTGGCCATGGCCCTACACGCGTCATCACCAAGAAAACACCACAGACAGCAGTGAGAATCGCAAGGCGAAGCGGACGGCATTTCGGACACAGAGCCAAACAAACAGGTCATACACACACACACACACACACACACACACACACACACACACACACACACACACACAAACATGCGGGGAAAAATTACGTACAGGAAAGCCGCCGCCGAAGGATGGCTGCTGTTGCTGCTGTTGCTGTGGAGGGAATCCACCCGGCTGAGGTGGCCGCATGCCGCCGGGCGGGCCGCTGTGTGTGTGCAGAGCGTGATTGGTGGTGTGGTGTGTGAGTTGGGGAAGGGCAGACCAGACAAAGACGCAGCAAACAGCCCGTGTTCGTGGCTGTTGGAGGGGGGGGGGCTTTCGGTCACCTTTGCATTGCCCGTGGCGGAGGCCGGCGATGGGCATCCAGCTTCTCCTGAATGAGCCGTTTCGCGGTGGCAATCTGTTCCGGGTCGCCCGAGATCCAAAACGTCTTGTCACCATTGACGGCTGGCTGCGCTCGATCAAGCTCCACATGCGCACCAGACTGCTGCATGATCATGCGGATGGATTCTCCGCCTGCGAAATGTCGTGGGTAAATGCCAAGACGTGGAGCCGACAAACACATGAGAAGCTGGACGGGCACTCCGCGGCAACAAGAAAAGCAAGAGAAAAAGCAACGCGCGTGTGCATTTGCGCAACGAGACACCGAACAAAAGCGAACGAGCAAACAAGTTGACAAGGCAGGAGATAGAACATCATGTTTACCTCTGCCGATGATGAGGCCAGCGCGCTCCTGGGGAACTGGCATGGGCTCTCTTGGACGGTCATCCCGTGGGCGTGCACTGCTTGTGCTCACCTCAGCCTACAATCAACAAGCAGCACCACACAACGGACAACATGAACAAAACAAAACAAAAAAGGCCGCAAGTAGCACATGCGCTCGAGCCATGCCATACAGCACACACGCACCCACGAAACACAACAAGGGAGAACCCATCTCCGTCATACACACACAATGCAAGGATCCCTCTTTCTTCATACACTCTCGCTTGCACACGCCACATCAGAGAGCAAAGCGTGTGAACGCACGTCTTGGATAATGTCCATGATCATCTTCTCTGCCGCCTCAATTACAGGCATGGTGCCGGTGATGGTGGCAATGCGGAAGTCCTGGTTCGTCTCTGCAAAAATGATACACATAGCACAGCAAGCAGATGTACGTCGTGGTGATGAGAACAGCACGCAAAACCGCGTAGTGGGTTGACGGGAAGCAAACCTCCCACCCACGCACAGCGGAGAGGCCGCAGCCCGAACATACACAAGAGACAAAAACGAAAGAACAGATGGATGGAGAGACAAAGAGGCAGAGGAGTGTAGCAAGGCTGACTGACGCTTCTGTCACGGGAAAAAGTGGCAACACGGCAAAACGCCATGGCAGCACATGCACAAGGCAAGGCTGCGGGCCGACAGAAGCGCTACTTAAGCCCAAACTGTAGGATTTGATCTCTGCTCGCACCAACGTGAGCACGCCACGACGGTCCAACAACAACAGCAACAGCAGCGCCAACAAGCGTGGCCACTGCCGTGCAGTGCCGTGCAGGGTGAAACCACAAGCACGCGACTAGTCCAAAATGGAGCAGAGCGGCCATGTGTGGAAAACCCCAAATACGTGGCGCGTGCCCGATATGCAAGGATGCAAAACCGGGCAGCGTGGTGCGAGCATTTCAAAACGAAGGAGGGGGGGGGAATTGAGGACAGTGGGTCACACAGACACAGCGCAAGCCAGGAAGGAAGGCGATGTCGACCGAAAAGGAAAAAAAAAACCAATCACAGCGTAAAATGCAATCAATCAAGGCAAAGAGGCTGGGGGAGGGGGTGTCAAGACACCAGAGACGTGCGATACAACTGGTGGGGAGAGTGGAATGGGGAAAGCGACACGTGCAGCAATGCCTTGTGGCCAGGCTGCCAGAAGCACGCGGCAAAAAGCAGACCACAGACGTGGGGGACACGGGCGCGAGGGAGAAGCAAGAGCCGATCGAGAGATGCCAACAATAATGCCACGGATAAGAGCGCATCTGCACTAAACTCACCTGGCTCAAACTGGACACGGGCGCCCGACTCTGCTTGAATCCGCTTGATGGAGTCGCCTCCTCGCCCAATGACCCGCCCAACAGCGACGCGCGGCACTTTGATCTGCGGCATGAACAACGACGCACACGACACACATGAGAAAGGAAAAGGAACGGAGGCGGGGGGGGGGGAGGCAAGGTGTGAGGAAATGGGCCATGTGAGCGTAAGAACGGTGAAGGGAGTTCGGTGGGGGAGAGGGGCACACCGAACGAGCATGCAAAGACAAAGATGCACACGTTGATGGCACGCCTGCCAGGATGGGGCGCGCAAACGTGCATGAGGGGCTCACCTCGACTTTCTTTGATCTGTACGCGCTAAGGTTGTTGACAATGTCACCACTGCTGAGGCCCATGGTGGACGGGTACATGGGGTCATGCTCCGGCTCTGGGTCAATGAGGTCCTTGACAAGCTGCTTTGCGCGCTCAATGGCGTCGCGTCGACCCGTCATGCGTAGCGGCTTCTCCTGCGCAAACGGGTCGTCCTGGATCACTTGTAACCTGGCCCCGCTCTGCTCCTGCAGCCGGTTGATCGTCTCGCCGCCCTTGCCAATCACCATCCCGACCTTCTCAGACGGAATCGGCATGTTGTCAACCTCCTCATCAGGCCTGTTGTGGAGCACATGCCACATGCCACAGGTCACGGTGTGTGTGTGTGTGTGTGTGTGTGTGTGTGTGTGTGTGTGTGTGTGTGTGTGTGTGTGTGTGTGTGTGTGTGTGTGTGTGTGTGTGTGTGCGCGTGACAGGCAGCATGTGCGCAGGTCAGTGAGGGAGGGGGTGGCTGCAATCGAAGAGATGAATGGCATGCCATCATCTAGTATGCGCGCAACACCCACACCCACACGCGCGCGGTACATCTGCAAACGACATGATGACACAATTGTTTTTGCGCAGTACACACGTCTCACGCACCCGAGTTCGCCCTGCTGGGACTGTTGTTGCTGGTGTGGCTCCTGGCCTGGGGGAGGAGGGCGCATCGGCGGGGGCATGCCGGGCACGGGCGCCATCATCTGGGGTGGCTGCTGCTGCCCTGGCCCCGAGGGAGGCGGCTGCATGGCTTGGTTGGGCTGGCCAGGCTGCGAAAGAAGTGGGGGTGCCTGGGAAGTGTTCGGGCCGACACCGGGGATGGGTGGCGGCGTTGAGGAGCTCGGTGCGCGTTTCCTATCTGCAAAATGTGTTGGTCCATTTAGAGAAGGAGGGAGACAAGCAATGGTCACGGAAGAATAAGAACAAGCAGAAGAACAGGAAGTAGCAATCAAAAAGGGGAAGAAGAACAAGAAGAAGAGCAAAAGGGTGAGCAATAGGGAACATGAAATAGGCACACGTGTCGACCACGTGCAGCATGTGTGCAGAAAGGCAAGACGGCAGCCTACAGGCATCCATACAGATGCACATACACATGCATGCATGTGCCAGTCAACATGAGCTTTCCAAGGCCACACAGCACGCACCGGGCGCGCCTTCGGGCTCCTCGGGTCCGCGCTTCACCAGCGGCATCCCACCGGCCGGGCCGGGTGGCTGGTTGGGCATGGGAGGCCGCTGCTGCTGCTGCTGCTGCTGTGGCATGGGCGGTCGCTGCTGGTGCATCATGGGTGGCGGCATCCCCATTGGCGGGAACATGTGTTGTGGTGGCAGCGGCTGCTGTGGTTGGGCTGTTGACGCGAAGGTTCGTGCCAGATGGAGATGTGAGCGGGTGCGGGGTGGTACGAGTAGGGGTGTGGGGAGGGGGGTTAGACACGGAAAAGAAAGAAAGAAAGAAAGGAAGAAAGGAAGGAAGGAAGGAAGGAAGGAAGGAAGGAAGGAGTGAAAAGACGAGGAAGGGAGGAAGAGGAGGGAAGGAAGAAAGGCGCTGTAATGCCAAAACATACATGCATACATACATCCATTCATTCATACATACATACATACACACACACATACATACATACACATGCATGCAAAAAGCTTACTTTGTTGGGCGCGCGCAGCAAGCTGCAAGAAGGCATCAAGGCGATGCAACGCAACACAACACACCGCGCCAACGACACAGGTTGTCCATTTGTGAGGGTTCAGCGATACAACAAGCAACGCAAATCGGGGACAACGCAGGCACTCACGCAGACACACAAACCCATGACACACGCAAGATGGGTGGGTGGCGCCAAACACCGCCACAACCACCATCACCACCATCACCATCACCATCACCACGTGGCGCGAACGTGCGAACGCACCGCTTTCACAGTGGCGAGCGCCGACAGAAAGTCGTTCTGCGTGTTCCCACCGGACCCGTCAGAGGGTGGCGGTACGTTGTTGAAGTCGCCCATGCTTGGATTGACAAGTTAACGGCAGTTGCTTATGATACGACCGGGTGTGAACGCTTCGGCAGTGTGGCGCGTGGACGCGATGATGTGGGGTGAGGTGAAAAGCAAGCAAGCAAGCGTGTGCGTGCGTGTGTTGTTGCAGAACAGTGCGCGGCGGAGAAAAAGCCAAAGCCGGGCACACGTGTGCTGGCAGTTGTGGAACGCAAGACGAAACAAACCCACAGGACGACAATTTGCCATATCTTGCACACATCGCCAAGAACCCGAGTGAAAGCGAGAGAGGACAGGAGCACAGCAGCAACACCAACCGCAACAACATGGACGACATACAGACGTTGATGCAGATGGGCTTCGACAAAGCCATGGCGTGCGTGTGAGTGTGCGAGTGTGAGTGTGTGTGTGTGCATGTGTGCATGTGTGCGTGTGAACGAGTGTTGTAGGGTTGTGTGAGTGACTGAGTGAGCGAGTTGTGTTTATGTGTGCGTGAGATTGCTCGATGTGCAGTGGTCATTGATGCCTGCACTCGCAATAGCTCCATACGTTTGTGTGTGTGTGTCTGTGTGTGTGTGTGTGTGTCTGTGTGTGTATCTCTCTCTCTCTCTCTCTCTCTCTCTCTCTCTCTCTCTCTCTCTCTCTCTCTCTCTCTCTTTCTGTGCCTCTGTCTCACCCATGCAGATGGCGTTCTTAGAAACCCCAACCCGCCGCCGCCCCCCCCACACACACTCACACACACACACACACAACTCACACACATGCACACACACACATACACGCTCGCCCGTGTGTAGGGAACGGGCACTTGCAGAGACACAAGGGCAAGGTTTGGATGCTGCTGTCAACTGGATTTTCAGCAACCCTGCACCGATGGCCCAGAGCGGTGGATTCACGCTCGGCTCTGGCTCTGGTGGGCAACAGCAAACGTCTGCAGGCAGCACTGGCGATGCCACGGCTGAACAGCAGAGCGCTCAGCAGCAGGGACAACAGCAGCCAGAACAATCACAGCAGAATGCAGAGGGAGAGGCGCCAGCTCCAAAGAAGGCGCTAACAGAGGAAGAGAAGCAGGAGCAGGCAAGGAAGCTGCAAGAGAAGATCAACCAACGCCGCATCCAGCGACACCAGGAGGAAGAGAAGCGTCAGCTGGAACAACAGAAGAAGCGCATGGAGTCTGCAAAGGCATGCATCACACTGCGCATATGCGTGTGCAAACTTATGCTTGTGCTTGTGCATCTGTGTGTGTGTGTGTGTGTGTGTTCTGTGTTTGTGCATCTGTGTGTGTGTGTGTGTGTTCTGTGTGTGTGTGTCTGAGTCTCAAACTGTCCCCTTTCCTCCTTTCCTTTGCTTTCTTTGCATTCTCGTTCTCGTTCTCTTTCTCACACGCTTTCTTACCGTCTCCTTGCACGTGTACGCACTTGTTCTTCATGAATGTAGACGCTCTCGCAGGCTCGCCGGGAGCAGGAAGAGCTGGAGATGAAGCGCATTGCTGAGCAGAAACGCAAGGAGGTATCCCACGCTCGAATCAGTACCATATGGCTCCGTGTGTATGTGGGTGTATGTGTGTGTGTGCGTGCGTGCGTGCGTGCATATGTCCGTCTGTGTTCGTCTGTGTGTCTGTGTCGGTGTGCACTCGCGCGTTTGCATGGCCACACCCGCGGACATGCTTGTCCGTGTTTTGTTCGTGTATGGTGTGTCTCCTTTCGTGTTAGTGCTCGTGATGTCACTCAGCTGAAACCCATGCCGTGTGTTTGCGGTCCGCAGAAACTTGAGAACAAACGACGAAAGGAACGAATCAAGGCAGAGCTGGAGAAAGACAAGGCAGAGCGGTGCGTGTGTGCCCACGCACTTACAGCCCCCCCCATGTGCTTGTTGTTTAACTCGTCTTGGCAACAGACACACTATCGTGGCATCTCTGTTGTGATCATGGTCCCACATGTTATGCCTATCTCGCCACCTGCCTGAAGTTACGTTTTGTGGTTTGAGACCCCTCTCCCTCCCGGCGTACACACGCACGCAAAGAAAAGACTGATGCTCCCCGGCTCTCCGCATGTCCTCATCGTGGTGAACCCTCTCTCCCATCCCCTCACCCCTCACCGCTCCCACACCATCACGTCGTCACCGCTGCCTGGAGCAGTGAGGCTGCACGAAAAGAGGCGGAGCGCCAGCAATCGCGCCCGTCGTCGCTTCCCGTCGCCCCAACGCCTGCAGTCACCGCGCCGCCATCGACAACAGCCACGTCCTGTCGCATCCAGGTGTGGTGGCTGCTTGGTTCCTTCCTCCTTGTTATGATGTTTTTGCATGTTCGGTGTGTTTAGTTTGTGTGTTGTGCTTTGTTTTGTTTGGCATGTTGGGTGGTGAAACATCATGTGACTGTGTTTTGCGGTTCCGCCCGTTGGACCGAGCCCTGCTTGCCCCTCCAAATACTAAACGTTACGGCTGCCCGTCAAAACCGATCTCGCCATCATCATCATCATCACCTCTGTTTTCGTTGTCCTCACCTCCAACACACACACGCGCCACCTTCTTGTGTCGTGGATGACAGGTGCGGTTGCCGGGTGCACAGCCCCTGCGTGCAACATTCTCGCCTGACGACAAGCTGCAGAAGCTGGTGGGGCACCAACGCTTGCTGCTGCCTTTGCTTTCCTGTATTCGATCACACACCAAAACGCACACACACACACACAATGACGCGATCGCTCTCTCTCTCTCTCTCATAGCACACACACACACACTCCAACGTATGCAGTTTGATGTTGTGAGTGCAAGCGGGGCGGCGCCGGCCAACTATTCGCTGATGCAGACAATCCCACGCCGCTCGTTTGCCCCAACAGCAGACGCAGACACCTCTTTCAGAGATGCAGGTGTGTGTGTGTGTGTGTGTGTGTGTGTGTGTGTGTGTGTGTGTGTGTGTGTGTGTGTGTGTGAAGGCTGTTGCGTGAACGTGTCAGGCAATCCCTTCAGTGCGTGCATGGCAACTTCTATGCTGCAAAAGGGTGCAAGCCCCATTCCTACTTGTCGTTTCACACGAATGTCTGTGTGCATTGCTCACACCACTGCAGGTCTCGTGCCGTCGGCGTCGCTGCACCTCAAGCCTATCTTGTAATCAACAACTGTGTTACATGCTGTCACCTGCACACATATACGCAAACGCATTCACAAACAAACACACACACACATACACACGCTATCGCCATTGAGGTCACAGCACATCCCTCGTCTTTTTCTTGGTATTCGCCATACACCCAGTGCTTGGGTTGTTTACCCTTGCTGCCTACTGCACACGACATTACATTTTTTGACAAGGACAACGCCACGTGTAACTAGCGAATTCGTTGCTTCCAATAGAGCACAAGCTGAAAGAGAAGGACGCACGCACACAAACACAAACGCACAAACACATACACACAAACACAAACACATACATGCACACACACACACACACTCAACATGCACACACACGCACACGCTCAACATGCCCCCCCCCCCCTTGGCTAGAGGGTGTTTGGTCCGAGGAGAGAGACGACCGCAGACACGGCGGTTGCACTCGCTTCCACAAGCTGCTGTTGCTCATCTCCATCTCCAGAGAGCAATGCATCGAGTACCCGTCGTGTTGCAGTGCCTCTCACCCTCGTCCTCCTCTGGTCACTATTGTTGTCGTCATCGTCGTCGTCATCGGCGTTGGCGACATCGTCGCTGTCATGAGGGGAAAAGCTGCTACCGCTGCCCGTCACAGCATCACCATCACCATCACCATCACCAACACAGGAAAGGATGGCCTCTGCTGTCTGGTGCGCCTTCAACAGCGTCGCGTTCGCTGCGATCGCTTGCCCGCTCTGCAGACCAGCCAAGCCCCGCACAGACAAGCACGCGTCCACACGCGCCCCAAAGAACGCCCCGTCATCGCCACCATCGCCACCACCATCACCATCACCATCACCATCACCATCACCATCACGAGTGGCGTCATGGGGTCCTGCGTCATGCAGTTGTGCTTCGGGGATGAGCGCAAGAACGCCCGACAAGAGCGACAGCGTTGCCAGCAGCGGCCCCTCAAACTCAATCGCAATGTCCCAGCGCATGCTGGCGCTGGTGCTGTCATGCAGTGCCTGCCGCACTTGCCGCCGCTTCGTCTTCATCACGCAGCCAACAGCACACGCGTCCTCTGTTTCCTGCACATCTTCACCACCACCAACACAACCCTTGTCAGCATCCGGTGTGCTGGCGAACACAAGTCGCGTGCGTGTCACGATGTGTTGGTCTGCAAGTGACCCCGCACGGTCCGCATTGTTGGCTGTCATGTGCACGGCAGACGGCGATGGGTGTGGCGCCGCCGTCTGTGTGCTGGTGTATACATCGCACTCGTGCTGACGATGTGACATGTCTCCTTGGTTCTGCAGCAGCGACAACAGCAGCGCCTGTCACGCGCACACACGCACGCACAGGAGGGTAGCTGAACGGCTTGACTCACGATGCCGTGTGTTGACACAAGATGCAAACACATGAACATGCATTCGTGGCCACACACGCATACATGTACACACTCACACACGCATACATATGCATACAAACACTGGTACACACACGCATACATGCACACACACACACACCCGCACACCTTGTGGACGGTGGCTGCCAGCGCCTCTTGCTGTCGTCTGTGCGCATCGGTCCTCTTCTGTCGTTGCTGTCGCTGTCGCTTGGCTCGCTTCGCTGCTGGAGAATCCAACACCACCAGCACCTCATCTGCATCACCGGCAGCGCCGTCAACATCAACATCAACATCAACATCAACATCAACCTCGTCGTCATCAGCTGCCCCCTGCACATCACTCATCACAACACTAGCATCGTCGTGATGGCTTGCAGCTTTGTTCGCCCCGCGTGCTGCCGTTTCCTCGGTGCATTGCGGTACAGCGGCAAGCAACGCGCGTACGAGCTGTGCACTTGCGCACACGTGTGCGCCAAGCCGACATGTGTGCATGAGCGCGCGTGCGTTGTCGCCACCACCGGCCCCTGCGCCGCTGCGAACGCGAAATGGTGACGGTGACGGCTGACGTGGTGCTAAAGGAACAGCATGACCTCCGACCACATCCGCGGTTGCAGCTGCGTCGTGACACGGGATGAATAAGCGGTCACGTCCCACGTGTCGGCGTGATTGCTCGTGCTGCTGCTGCTGCTGCTGCTGGTGGTGGTGGTCGTCGTTGTCGTCGTTGTCTGCAGTTGTGGGCGGCGGCTGTATCAGGCGTGCAAACTGCCACGCCGTCACGATGTCCTGCAGCAGATTGGCATGCACCGTGGGCGATGACCGCTGCTGATGGTGATTGTATTGGTGATGATGATGGTGGTGGTGGTGTCGGGTTCTGAGTGCCTCGGGTGTGTGCTCGGGTGCAGCTTGCGCGTGTGCGCGTGTGGTGTGCTGGCCTGATTGCGCCATCCATGGCGCAGCAAAGACGAGAGTGACGCGAAGCGAGCACGGCAGCGCCGCGAGAGACGGCAGAACAACACGAGCGCGCCACGACTGATGGTGGTGGTGGTGGTGCAGAGGGGAAATTGCATCAGGAGTGATGTGAAATTGAAATATTGCACGCGCAAGCGAGTACTGGAGATGGGGAACACACAGCACGGTCATCGGAGCTCATGACTGCATACGTGCATTGCTGCATGCATGGGTACGTGCATGGGTACACGCGCACCTTGGATGCTGGAAGGTCGTGTGGAAGGGTGTGAGAGCGGCAGTGGACAAGAGCATCATCCCCGCACCTCCTGATTCATGTGCAGGCGAAAGGAGCAGGAGAGTGTGTGAATGCGGAAATGAGGTTAAAGAGAGGATGTGTGTCTGCGTGTGTGCGTGTGTGTGCTTGTGTTTGTGTGCCTGTATTTGTGTGTGCCTGTATGTGTGTGTGTGCATGTGCGTTTGTATGTGTTTGTGTGTGCCTATGTGTGCGTGTTTGTGTCTCGCGGCAAGGGTGACAAGAGGGGCGTGCGCGTAAAATGGGCGGAAGGATAGACTGCACGCGCATACATGTGATTCTCGCGCGAGACGAAAGCGGTTATGCGCACACCTGATTTCAATGACTGCTTTCCAGTGCCGAGTGGCGACCATCTGACACAGGGTGGGGGGGGGGGCAGGTTGGTGCACACAAAGTCATGCACACATGCATACATGATGCGAAAAAAGTATTGACACATCATCAGTCGGAACGGCAAACGGCGCACTTGCACAAGAATGCACGCAACACGCACGCCCACACACACACACACACACGCACACACACACACCCTATCAAACAATCATACATTCACTTGACAAGCAGAACACAGCGCAACACAACGTACGCACCTGATGCGATGTGTTCGCGATGCGGACTGCAAGGGCAAAGTACGCGGTTGCATGATCAAAGTGGGATGTCCACGAAACGGAGAGCGGGGCGCTTTGACCTGAGCCCAGAAAACAACCAATTGGGCACGAATATAAATACAGGTGAGAGCACGTGGGTATGCGCGAGGAACATCAACATGTTTGAAAACAAGAAGTGGCTGGAACCACACATCACACTCTCCACCCGACACGCGTACATATGCACACAAACACACGCACACGCAGCATGTGCGCACCAGATTGCTTCTTAACAAGAAGCTGTGCATCGCGCAGAGCACGAAGGCGTGTGTCCTGAAAATAGAGTTGGCAATACAAGCAACGGTTGTGTGCGTGTGTGTGTGCGTGTGTGTATGTATGTGTGTGCGTGTGTGTGTGTGTCATCATACAGAATTATGAGTGTGCACACATGCCGGAACCAACAGATGTGAGCAGAAGCAAAGCGGGAGGTAGGGTGGCACAACCCGCACATGTAACAATATTCACACCATTACGCCATTCGCGCTACGTACGATGACAAGTGAGTGCTGTTGCTGCGCTTGGAGTTGTTGCGCGACGGCGGAGAGCTGACGGAGAGCAGTGAGCGAAACAGACGCCGCATTCACCGTCCCAGCAATACCAGCGGCAGCAGGTGGCAAGCAAGCAACCTGCATATCACACGTGTATCACGCATGCGTCGACAGTGAGACGGACCTTGCACTGGCAAACGCATGCGAGTGTGTGTGTGTGTGTGTTTG